CCGCTGCGCGGCCGCACGCGCTGTCCCTCGCCACCCGGTCCGTCTCCCTCAGCCGCCTGTCGACCCCGTCCCCCGCGGCGGCGAGGGCGAGGGCGGCGGCGGCGGCGGCGGTGATCGCGAACGCTAAGGCGGTGGCGGCGGTAGCGGCGGCGAAGGAGGCGCAGGCGGTGGCGGCGGCGGCATCGGCGGAGGAGGCGGTGATGGTGGCGAAGGCCGTCGAGGACCGGCGTCTCTGTGCCGTGGACGTGGCGAGAGTCGGAGGTCTCGGCGAGAGGCGCGCCCAAGGCTAGGCTCTGGACGGAGACGTCCCCGCTGCGAGTGACGAAGACGGCGGGGACGGCGGGGGGGGGGGCTAGTAGTGGTAGAATTTTGCCAGAGGCGGCCGCGATTAGGCCTTCTTCTGCGCCCGAGGTGTCGCAGCGACCAGCGGCGGCCGGCGGCGGGGCTCGGGGGGGGGGGGAGGAGGAGGGCGGGGTGTACGTGTACGTGTGGAAGGGGGCGCAGAGCAATGGTGAGTGTGGAATTCGGGCCTGGGGCGGGGGGGTACCTTTTTTTTCTGTCGTGTTTTGTTTGGTGAAGTTCCTGAGTGTACATTTCGGTAAAAGTTTGCTTGCTCTTGCGGTTTGATTGTTGAATGTTGTGGTTTTGTGGCAATTTTTTTACGGTAGGACACTGATGTCCTCGTCACCTCCAAAGTAAGCTTCTCTACGACACCTTTATGCAAGAGACCCTTGACAATGCTTGACGCACGCCCTCGCCCGTGCGTTGTCGACCACATCACGATGACCCGCTTATCCATATCTCGTGGCTTTCCTGGCGTGGCAGCACAAATGCTCGAGCTGGCGAAGGAAGGTGCGCGGTGGCTGCGCGACTACGAAGGGTGGGGGGTGGGGTCGAACGCGCCGGTGGTGGAAGAGGGGCAGGAGCCACACGAAGTGCTGCGACATCTGGACCAGGCGGGCGGTGAAGCAAGAGAGGTGCGTTTAGTAGAGCTCGGAACAGACAGCTTACTCATGTTTGATTGTTTCGGGCGTTTTGTTCGTTCATCGCCTATCGTCCGCGTTTATTGTAGAGCGATGCGCGGGGGGCTGCGATATGCAGCGTTCCCATCCGCGTGGTAATAAGAAGGGTGCTCGCGGTTGTGGCTGGCGGCTCAGGTAGCGGAGAAGAGATGGAAGGCATGAGGGGTGCCCACGTGTCCAGTGCTGCTGTGCGGTCTTCCCTGTTGTGAACTATACGGGTTTCTGCTGTTGTCGATGGCCCAACGAGTGTTTTTTCCGGGAGTTTTGGTTCAATCTAGGGATGTATTCGCATCCGAAGTCGGGGTGAAGACGATGCTGTTGAGCACAACTCGCAGATATCAGAGATCACATGGGAGATCAGTCTCGCGTTAGACTGAAGTCTATGTGGAAGTACTATTAGCATGCATTTTTCAGTGTGATGAGGCGTTTAGTTTGTTGTGGTGCTTCTTACGGTGATGATGGTCCCTTGTTGGTCACCCCATCCTCATCTGCGTTGCAACCCCCCCCCCTGCTGCCGTAATACAGCCTCCGGTCTACGGAGATCTCGTTTCGCCGTCGCCGCCACCAACAGCTGCAAGAACCAGCCACAGCCACTCCTCGTTCATGCCGTGTCCAACGCCTTCACACGGCGGCGGCGGCGGAATGATGATGGGAAGGAGCGCCCCGATGCTCTCGCCGGCAGAGACCCCGACTCTGTCGCCCGCAGGACCGAGCCCTTCCCCCGGAGGGGTTAGCCTCTCGCCCTCTCCCTACGGCAGCACCGGTGTCTCCCCCGCGGGGGCTTCGCGGTTCGGTTCGGCCTACGGGGGGGGAGGGGGTCCGACGATCTCGCCATCCGGATCGACCACCGTTTCTCCGGCACCAGGGCATCACAGGCTCAGCGCCGGGGGCGGCGGCGGCGGGGGGGGGGGCGGGGGGTACCGGGGTTATGGGGGGGGGGACAACAACCTGGCGAGAAGCTCCATGGGTTCCGCGACCCAAATGGGCCAGGACGATTATGACGATTACCATTACCGAAGACGAAGAGAGGCTTGCGATGGGGCTGTCTCCTTTGAGCGAGGGTCGTCCGTCTTCGCTGGGCGTCGGGGTGCGGGGGGGAGGGAGAGGGCGCGACGCCAGTGTCCCCCGGCTGTTTGAGCTCTCCGACGAGCTCGGGCTGGGGCACGGGGCTAGCGGGATGCGGTGGAGCCAGCTGTCGATTTTTGACGATCAGGTGGGCTGTTTGGTGGGTCTTGTCTCTTTCCTCGGCGTTGCTGTGGAGCAGTTATGGCGGTATTGCTTTGATTGGAAACGCGAGGTGCCACATGTTATGTATGGGTGGGCCGCGCTTACCGGCTGACCAGTTGAGTGAAGTCGGTTTCATTGAAATATGTCGGTTTCAGCAGGACGAAAAACGTGCATGAAGAGTTTTTCTCATCTGCGGGGCTCCCTGACAAGGGGCGCCATGAAGGAGACTGGGCACAAAATTCTATTCTGCGGATGTGTCTGTAGGTGTGCACGTATGGGTGTGGATTTCTTCTTTTTTTCGTGAAGAACATCGAGGCGTCTATCCGGCTGACCGAGGAAAACGGTCGGTCTTTTTTTGACAAACACACCCGATCACGTTTTGCTCGGGGTGGAGCATGTCCGCCGGTGCCTACATCCACTGATTTACGCTTGGATTGCGGTTGGTTGATTCTACCCCTCGCTTGTCGACACAGCTTCTTAATAGCTATCGTGGCTGTCACCACTTCGCGTTGCATCCCCTTTCCTTAGCGCGTTGCGTGGGCCCCTTTACGTCATGTGAAACCAAGCTCAACATGCTCTGGCCCCACTTCACAAGACATGCACGATTCGGAGACTTTACCCATGTATAGGACGGTGTGTATTGATTTTTTTTTGTTTTAACCCCCTCCCCAACTCGCGTCCTCTCTCGCCTCTGACGGACGTCTTAGGATCTGTTGCCGCAGTGCTGCTTCCTGCTAGTGACTCCCGGCAAGCCAAGCTTCCTGTGGATCGGAGAGGCCTTCGCTGCGGGTCTTGTGCAGGTGACAGATGGAATGCTGCGACTGGGAGACAGACAAATACACATGCCCTCGTATCTGAGGCTGAGATTTGCTACGTCCAACAAACTTTCCGCTACCAATCACCTTGCACGAAGATCTTTTTTGCTACAGGTTGACTCAAGCTTGCAGACGTGTTATTGATGTGCTTGGAGGCGTGGCGGTAGTTGCCTAGTTGACACCTATAGTATGGCATTCTCACCCTCCTGACACTAACCCTGAGTCGGTTGAATCGTTGCCATCCGCACTTGGAGGTGGTGAGTAAATAAGTAAATACTTTCACGACCGCCTTGGTGCGTGGTGGCTGGTGGCGCTGACGGTGCCTGTTGTTGTGTCTTGAGGTGGGCGGGTGCAGCGCAAAACGTTCTGGACGTCCTTTGTCAAGGTGGCATGAATGAACGCCAATACCTGTGAACAGAAGGAATCGTTCTCGATGGAGACGTGCGAAGGTGATGTCCTCGCACATGTAAATAGTTGTCTTCATCTCCTCATTTGAATCTTGTCGTCCCTGTCACCCTTCAAAACCTTATCCAACCGCGAAATGAAGACATGCACCCACCGTCTCGACGAAGCTACCATCGACCTTTTCCTCAAAAACCCGGCATCCTTCACGCCTGCCCCCGCATCGCTCGACACATGTGAATAGTAATTATGTATCGTTAGACAACAACGACCCCCAAGTTAGAACCTCGCCAAAACACACCACTCGCACGAAACAAAATCCCCCACCACTACCCCAGGTTGTGAGCTCGCTGGAGGAGCTGCAGGAGCTGGCCAGAGACATCGCCGTGAAGGACGCGAGGAGACTATCGGACCGGACACTTCCCCTACCCTCGGACGTGGAGACGGCGGTGATCGTTCCTGGAGACGGCAACGAGCCTCCGGAGTGGTGGTCCGCATTCGAGAGCGGGTACACATAGTGGCGGGGGGGGCAGGGAGGGTCCTCGAGCAGCACGACCGAAACGGATTTGCAATCGCTTGGGGCTCCGGACCTCTCTGCGTCGGATACCGAGCACGAGCGGGGCGGGGGTGTCGTGTGCGCGGAAGGAAGCTGGAGTCGAGCGATGGCGGCTGGGCGCGGTGGGGCTTGTTGGTGGGCATTTTCCATTCGAAATCTATTCAGATACACCGGGATGGAGGAGGGCGCGGAAACGTCGTGCGTGCGTGTGCGTGTAACCCTTGGGCATCTTACGGCACGGTACGGCGGTTACATGGGGAAGGAAGAGGAATTGGGGGGGGGGGGTAGGAGAGAGAAACCCCGCCGTACTTAGTCGCCGGGGCCCCTAGATCACCCCGCGCCTTGTATTGGTCCGTTCGTTCAACTGTAGGGTGGGACAGGGGGTCTTTACGATGAGCAGATAGGTAGCGACGTGACGTGGCGGTTGCAGTTTAGGTCGCCAAGCAAACGTTCTGCAACTCTTTGTGGGAGCACGTGCGTCGTGGCTTGGTACCAGCGTCGCCGAGAGGGGCGGAGTGCTGGGAGGCGGGCGGGCGGGAGGGCGGGGGGCGGCAAGACTGCTGAAATTGGTTCAGAGGCCTAACTAGCTCGAGTCTCCGCTGGCGGCGGAGAGTGGCTGAACTGTCGCGTTACGCAGCGGGAGGCAGAGAAGCAACTACCACACGTACGATGAGGACAAGCCCGAACAGGGTCGGTTGTGTTGCGCTTAAGATTAGCGTGGGAGAATCGTGTTCCATTTTGGGCCAAGTGGAAGCGTAGTGAGGAATGGCCCTCTTGAAAGGCAAGGGAGTAGTAGCAGGTGACCATTCGGGGGTGTCATCCGAAAGATGCGTCCGCTTTGATTTTGTGGATGAGTATAGCGACTGAGTCGCTGAAAAGACTGGGAGGTAGAGGGGGTATCACGTTATGAGGTAGCGGTTGTTGAGGCACACGAGACGAGGAAGCGCGAAGGCTCGTAGTACAGGGCTAGGTTGACCCGACAATCGAGTCGAGCTGTTCGAACGCCTTGTCTGCTCCCGTAGCATCGTAGCACTCCACGCCGTGTTGAAACACGCGCTTTCGAGCGTTGGCGGCGATCTCACCGATCAAGGAGAACGGTGTTGTAACCGACGAAGGGTTTGCATCTTACGCCGAACCGGGGATGGGCACAAATCATCCCCTGGCGGCCACGGGCCGGGGCGTTTTTTATGAAGGGCTGCGTGTGGGGGTCTCCACTCGATATTGTAACGGGGGCAGCTATCTCTCTCTTGTGCCCGTCTGTTTTTGTTTTGGCAGTGTCGTCTATTTAATACATCAACAACCAGTTTTTGATAAGTTAACTGTTTGTCGGGACCTCGCCGGCTCTAAAAAGCCGAGAACACCCAACCTAGCTAGTGGGATTGCTTCGCGTAACGTCTGCTCTGATACCCTCCAAAGATTTAAGCTTGTGGAGCCGCGGGGGGGGGGGGAGGGGGGGAGGATCTCGGTCTGTGCGTTCCTCTTGAACTCAGAATGACGGGGTTTTTTTCAAGAATTCGCGTCCGAATTTGTCGGGAAGGCGCTGCAGGTGAACGACGCAATTCGCCACGCAGTTGGTCCCCTAGCTCGGTGCACCACGCGTTGTGTGTGAAGATCTCTCGCTCGCCGTGGAGGGTTTATTGCAGTGGCGGTGGCGGGTGCTGCTGTTCTCTTAGGTCTGGGGTTACCTCCGGAGTGGCCTGCGTCTGGCGAGCGGGGCTGCAAAAAATTGTACATATAGCAGCTTGTCGGGTACTTGTTTCATTTGCCGTGGCTCTTCCCTCCCCTTGTGGTATATTTTTGTTTGTTGCCTGAGCGGTCCGGTCAGAGTCGGAGTCGCGGGCTGTGTTTTTCCGGCTTTTCGGGTGCCCTTAAGCTTTGGTTCCGTCCGTCTGTGTAGAATTATTCACGCGAGGAAATGTTCTTCTTCGCCGCGAGTGTCGGGACGGTTTTTTCTTTTCCAGGTTCTGTTAATTTGCCTTGGAAATTACGTCCTCGTCCTCGGAAAGACGGAACAAGAAGTGGGCACTGGATAGAGGGTAAATTAGCGGTTTTTAACATGAAGGCCGCGGCTTGCTCAGAAGGGGAGACGAGTTGTAAAATGTCGCGTGGTGGTTTTGTCGGAGGGGGGTGGAGGCGGAGAGGCAGCCGCCAAGGGGGGGATAGCTTCTGCAGTGCCGAGCGTTGTGGTAAGGAAGAGGCGTCTTTTGAGCTGAAGAGCCCCAAAAGAATATTCGCAGAATTTTCGTCGCCGGTTCCTGCGAGGGAGAGAGGCTTCGATAGCGAGAGGCTCGTTCGTTTGTTTGGCTCTTTTCTTGTCCTTCTATGGGTTTTGTTGACTCTTTCCTCGGTTGGCGTCTGTCTGTGTTGCGGGTGTTGGAACTCCGCCTGTGCTCCCTTTGCTGGTGCCTGGGTGCGGTGGGCTGGGGAGCCACGAACAAACGCGCTGCTGTCGAGAGGCGAATCAAGCGCCCACCTTGTTGATGTTACGTGTGTCGCGCCCTTTTCTGATTTTGTGCATGAGGAAGTATCTACTACTATTACTAAAATATAATAATAAAAAAAATCGTTCACGTAGAGGTTCGTTGTTTGGTACCGTCTTTCTTAGACCGTGTCGCTCTCTCTGATTGTAGCCCCGAAGGTCTTGGGGCGACAAATTTTACAGGTCCCCGTATAGCGTGTACGTACGTGACTATGAAGGTGTGCATGTTGCGGGGGCGGTGAGTAATTCTGCTTTGAGTTTCCTTGTCTGCAAGCTGAGCGGTCGGTGGTCAGCGATAGCTCCTTGATGTATGTGTGTAGTGTCGTTCTGTCTCGATAGCCCCCCCCCCCCCCCCCCTCTTTCTCAACGCCTGGGGCACGTGTCCAGGGAACTGGTGCGCGATTTATTTGGGGAAAATATCTGTGAGAGCCGGAAACGACGTCCTCACCCGGCGTAGCGGGTATCATTCAAGTACTTGATAGCTTCATGTTCCTCTCCCGCGTCGAACAACATTGGGTGCGTTGTTTGTACGGGGGAAAATACCTGTGAGAGCCGGAAACGACGTGGGGGGGAGGGCTTGATGATTGCCTTCGTTTGCATTGCCCACCACGTGTGTGTGACCACATGATGAATCTATGGGTCGATTTTTGTGTGTGCTGAATATTTTGAGTCGATATCTACGTATCTCCCTTTCGTTTCGCGAGGTAACGGATTGACGCTGACTGGCTGCTGTGGTTTGTTGTGGTTGTACGATGAACTTTTGTTGTTCAAAGCTGCATGGCAATGGGGAAAAGGTACTACAGAATGAAAAAGCGTCTTAGGTTGGTCGTCTCCGGCCTCTGCTTGGTCGTTGTCGACGGCAGTATGTCCGGACCGACCTCCTTGGTATCAAACGAGACCGTTGTTCTGTGAACGGGGTATATAGGGTACTCGTGCAGCTATTATACCACAGTACGTTCCGAAGAAGACACACACGGTAGCTCTGCGCTTCCGGTTGGCGGCGTTTTGATTATGCGGTGAGATCGCAAGAATGCAATCGACCAATTAACAACACGGAGCAACGGTGGTGGTGTTGTTGTTTCGAAAACATGCCGGGAGGGCACGTGGGGGCGGCCCTGCCCGTGCTGTGTCGTGAGGCTATTGGCTGCCAGGACGGAGGGTATTGCGAGCAAGATGGTTTTGGTTGTTTATCGTCGGTTTTGTGCCGTTTGTTTATCTATCTTTTGTGTTCGACATTCGGTCGTACGATTTCTGCGCTCCCCCCCTTTCTCCCATGCATGTCCTCTTTTTTGTTTCGATCGAGTATTTGTGGAGCATAAATTAGTGTGTGTTTTTGTTTTTTGGAGGGATACGGAATATCAAGCAACAGATGGCACCTCAGTTGGGTATTCTACCGCATCCATCGTCCTTGTTTTCCATTCGGGGTTTACAATTTGTCGGGGACGGGGGGTAATCGCTGGGTACAAGAGGATGTGCCGGTATCATGTAGGCTTCTGGCATGAGAGGAAAGTAGTGCAGAACAAGACATTTATAGGATTAACCAAGCGTGGACTTGTTAAAATGACTACTATACAATATAATATCGCGAAACCAATGGCATAATGTACGGGTCGTTCTTCGTTGACCGCACGCGCTAGCTGACTAGCTACTATCGGTTGGATGTCGAGCTTGAGCACACACCCGCAAAGCAAAAGTGCGAACCCCAGCCTGTCTGTGGTGGTGTTATGTGGTTTCCACCATGCGTGATGGCCGGCGGTGTGAAAAACAAGCACTGGCAGCACTCCGCACGGACGGCGGTGGGTGGTGGTACCGTACGTGTTGCCCACGTCGTACGTGCCGTGCAGAGAGAGAGGAGGAGGTGAGAAACAAAAAAAATCCCGTCTACGTGTGGCCGTTTCTCCTTCTGTACGGTCATAATGCCGAACGTACGTAATACGTGTAAACCTGACGTCCAGCAAGAATTTGAATGAGGATGACGGTGCACCCACAGACAGTCGGGTTGGGGTCGAGTCCCTCACAGCGTCCGTCCATGTTGCTTCTTCTCTGGCTCCAGGGAGATGAGTAAGACAAGAGACGAGTCTTTGGTCAACTCAGCAGCAGCAGCAGCGCTTGCTTGCGAAGGGCGACCCCGCCGACAACATCGTGCAGATTTTGGGGTTTGAGCGCCACGAAGCTCTTTTTCGGTTGACGATCACCTAGGTAAGTAGTCGGTCTTCTGTGTGTTAATATAAGGCCAACAAAAGCTTTCCTCGCTTCGGTGCTTTGCGACCAACCAAACGTAGTATAGCGTGACCGGGGTCTTGCCAGCATTGCTGCACACAAAGCAAGCCGTGCTTGATCGTGTCTGAACCACAGGAAGACCGTTCATTGTGTGGCATGCCGATGCGCGATACGGCCATCAATGTCAAATAATAATACATGTTGTTCGGATCGTATGGTGGCAGGTGTTCGTATGTAACAAACTTCCGACACGTTTCTGTGTAATTTACGCGCAAACTGATACTCTCAATAATAAGAGTAGGCGAACCTTTTGCTGCGCAGCAAGTCCTTGGGTTCAACCATCATCACCGTAGAAGCTACCTCCACATCGCAGCAGCTAGCTGTCGACCGACCCAACACGTAGACAGACGTAGTCCCACAGCTCACTCGGCGAAGAGCAAGGCAACAACAGGATCGTGCGGTCTGAAGCAAGGGTTCATGGACACGGTTGGTTGTTTTCAGAACGTACTTTGGTTTTTTCGTTCTATTGTATATATCAATATTTACTGATCACGGGTGTCCCACTCTCAAAGTAGTACCGTTTTGACTGCATGATAAACTGCCCTGATTAACACAGGATGGAGATAGCCAGGAGACAACAACTGTCTGTATGCAACTGCCCGATGCACGACGCTTCTGGGGAAAAACATGTGTTCCGTGTGTCGCAATCAGCCACCGCCGCCCACAAAATACTCTAACGCGATGCACTCCCCTCTCTTTTCACACTCCCACCACCACTGAAAACCGTCGTACAAACTGTCCGATGCACGACCCATCTGTCTCGGTAGAACATACGCTCTGTGTGTCGCGATCAGCCACCGCCCACAAAATACTCTACGGCGGTGCACTCCACCCTCTGCTAGTTTCCACCAATCCAACTTACAAACAACCAGGTTTTCCTCCAAGCCGTGGAGCTAAAACTAACAACCCCCGTGCGTAGTTGCAAGCAAGCACGTTTTTGTTGCCGCGAGCCGTTGCGCGCTTGCATGCAGCTTTGAACGAACAACATTCCTACATCCGAATCCATCGTTCGGTGTTGAAACTCAACCGCCTTTCTCGGACCCCCCCGCATCATCACCGTGACAAACCCACAAAGAAAGTTAAAGCAAGAAGAACCTAACGAGTATACTACCTCTGTTATGGCCACATCAACAAGGGCAGACGTCCGGCGGCGACGAACGACCGAGGGACGGCGGCGCTATCCGCCAAGAAGGCGACCTCAAGGCAGACCGACGGACGGGCGGACCGATCCGACCGAACCGGACCCACCCAAATCAACACGGAGGAAGGGCCTCCGACCGCGATGATCAAAACCAATAATAAATGAGTCACGACAATTACACCAGGAAAGAGCCACTGGGGAGATCACCAAGAAACACCTTTTAATTCTGGACATGTTCAAGAGGAATGAATGCCATCTATTAACTTAGGGAGAAAATGTCCAACAAAGAGGAGATGCCATCTGGTACTATTTACTACTTAGGGAGAAAATGTCCAAGAAAGAGGATGCCAACAAGACCAACTTGGAAACACATGAACGAGCAAATAATGCGCACACACGCACCCTGCGCCTTCGAGACTTCGTAGGGCCAGTCTATCTAGCCTTCGTCATCTACCAACGCAGCCAAGCGAGCTACGGCCCTCGCCCACAGAACCGCCAGAACAGACCTCGGGCGTGGTTATTGCCTCGGGGGCGGCGGTGGGGGGGGCGCGAACAGGTTGCCGACGAAGCATAACCCCTCCACGATGTCGATAAGGCTGTCGCAGCGCTCCGCGCCTATGACCCGGCAGTACTCCAGCGCGTAGATGGCGAGGTAGACGACGTGCACGACGACGACCTGCGCAACAGGGGCGAACACCTTGGAGGTTCGCTCGGCGGTACACCAGACCACATAGTACACGCCGGAAACGACGAGCATGAGTGCTATGTGTATCAGTCCTCCCCGGATGTAGAGCTGCCGCCGGTGAGGCACAGCCACCACGGGCAGATGATGTGGCACCGCCGCATGCGCGCCGAGGGCGTGCCAAAATCGGTCCCAGGCGTTCTTCAAGACTTGGGGAAACATGACGTTGACCGGCGGCCTGAAAGCAAACGAATGTGGGTTTGGAGGTAGTAGGTGGTCGAAGTACGACGTGGGACGTGACGCTGGGTATTGAATGTAATAAAAAGGGTGGGGAGATGTATTGCATGCCACAGGAACATTATCTCCGGAGTTTGTTATCGATCATCACGGAGTGAGTGCCGATCATGACGGAATGGGTGCAACTGAGTGTGTTACGCGCCACTACCAAGAACCTGACAACTACGGTACAGTAGTAAGAGCTCCAGGCCAGAAGGAAACAACTATAAGAATGAACATGACCGTGAGAAACATGCCCTCAATTCGGAGGTCTGCGTCGGGTACAGATTAGAACGGACTCCCAACAACACGCGGTGGTTGAAACAGGAGAACGTTGGGGGTGGGGTACAGGGGTGGTTCACCGGGGGGGGGGGCAGTGCCCCTAGCATACTGGAGCCCGGGGAGGGGGGGGACAGGAACAAGGAGTTGACAAAACATCTGACCGGCGTGTTTTGATTACGCAATTGGGTGGGGGCAGCCATGGGTATTTTTGTCGAGCATCGCCCGGACCGCGAGTTTCATATTTCTTTTCGAAAATATTGTGGCATGGCGATGTACGTGCGTGCATACGGGTGAGTCCACGGCAAGAATAACACCGAAAGGGTTAGGTAACCCGTACACCTTCTTCATGGACGTTGAAAGATGTCAGCGATACCGAGGGAGCTTCAGAGACTAGCAGCGATGAGTGCAGGAGGGAGGATGACCGGAGCAGCCTCGCGGGCGGGGAGCAGACTTGGGCGGTGGGGGCGACGGGCACAATGGCGGGGGGGGCATCGATGAAGATGATGACGGCAAGGTTGACTCTCCCTTGCGTAGTCCCTTGCGGTCTGGTTGTTGCTTTTGTTGTCGCATTCATAAACTTGGTTTGAAGTTACGAAACGAACACCTGCTTTGTAACGGCGGTGCGTGACCGCTCTGGTTATTGTCGAGTTTCGCGGTGCCGCTACGCTACATACACGTCCGTCCCACGGCCAGGACGACGAGTTGGGTCTACATGACGAATGGATGATGCGGACGGCGAGATACATACACGGCATGAGGATCCCGCACGACGTTACTCGCGTTCGAGGGCCTTCCACCGCTCGCTGCTCTTGACAGTTCTTTTGCCGCAGCATTGGGGGTCTCATAAGATTCAGGATAAGGCCTACCTTTGTTGCGAGTGCATCAACGAATCAACACTTTTTTCTGTTGTGTCATGGTACATAGTATGTCAAGGCAGCTTGTTGTGTGTATGGACATGTGCCGAACCGTCAGGGTTTTGGCCGAAAGCTTCAACGAACGGGCAACAGTTACGCGTCATCTTCTTAATGGATGGGGAGGAACTGTGTGATGTGTTTGTGGTTAACAAAGAAACCAGGAGAGGTAAATGATAATAAGTGGAAAGTGACCTCAGGGGGGGGGGGGTTGTACTCATAGTCGTGCATGCCGTAGTCGTTTGACCATTGACCTCGCATCCCTACAAAGCCGGGACGGAGCACGCCGGGTTCTCACCGGACCAGGCTCTCACATCACCAAGCGCGAAGCGCCGTGAGGTATTTGGCGAGTCGCATGAAGGGTGAGCTGCATCCTGCTAAGGGTGTTCGGCATCTTGTGCTTACTTCCTTGCGTACGGATGACAGCTACGTATGACTTAATTTATTTTCTGGTGCTTTCACTTCCAGAGACAGTTGTAAGTACTGTGTAACTGCCTCAAGGAAGCTTGACCATTTTAACACAACGTGGTGCGATCATCCCCCGTTGCGCGGAGTGAGCGTTGTCGACCCCGCACAACATGATCTACTCGAACACCATTTCCATTATGGTAACCGCCAAACAAAAACCGAGGTACAAAAAAAAACCCGGTAACCTGGTTGCCGAGTTCACGAAGTGAATTGGCTTGTTTTACAACGTCGTTGCCGAGCGACGAGAACCCAATCCCGATGGCAAACACCGAGTGGGGGGCTTATTTTACAACGTCGTTGCCAAGCGACGAAAACCCAAACCCCGATGGCAAACACCGGAGGGGGCGGCTTGTTTTACAACGTCGTTGCCAAGCGACGAAAACCCAAACCCCGATGGCAAACACCGGAGGGGGCGGCTTGTTTTACAACGTCGTTGCCAAGCGACGAAAACCCACACCCCGATGGCAAACAAGGCCGAGGGGGGGGGGGGAAAGTGACCCCAGGGGGTTGGGAAAAACATGGGAGTAAATACTTCATGAAGGCTGATCAAGAGCAGCCAGGGAGGATCTAGATGCCGCTAATGGAAGGCAGCAAAATGGAGAAGTAAACAACTTTTGGCGAGAGTAGCTGGCGGAGATATCCAACACAGACGGCCTACAAGCTGGGCACTTTTGTTAGCATCTCCGCTTTACAGGCGAAGAGCTGGGAGGATGTTGTGGCAGCTTGTATGTTGGACACGCCAAATCAATATGTATGATAAATGTGCCGAACCGTCAGGATTTAGGCCGAAAGCTTCAGCGAACGGGCAACAGTTACGTTTCTTTGAAGCGGCGTTCTCGGGGTCGAGGCCTGTCTACCAAGCACCTGGTTTTCAGTCAAAAACCACCCTCGTGAAGGAAGATAAGGAACCCGGTGAACACTGTCCACCGTGAACGTATCACGTGCATACTCCTCCACTTGTCGTTCACATCACGTACCGTCGTGACATTCGAACGTGTTGCGACCGTTTGTACGCGTTAATCGGAGCTCCAATCAAGCCAAGACCCGGTCTCGGCACATCAGCTCAAGAGACATTGAGAGATAGAGAACACAAAAAGGAATACAGCTACAATAGCTCAGGCCTCCGTGAGTCGTCACGTTCACGAACTGAGAGCGAAGACAAAGGGTTGGAGTTTTAGGCTCTTGAACGCTATTATTGCACATAATACATGGTAGCCTATGATGCATATATATGTGTCGACAAGTTTTACATTTTGTCTTGTCGTCCCATCTACTCCGGGCGCCAATCCAACCCTTCGGGAAATATGTTTGATGAATCAGTCAACATACGGGTGGATCCCCCCCCCGGAAATTAGAACGCGCTGTCCTGTACCGGGCAAAATTGTTGTTGTTTGTTGTATTTTAGGGAGACCCCGCAAGTGTGTTCCGAGCGAAACGACTGGCCGATAATTTGAGATTGGGAAACGAATGGTGTGCTCGGGTTGGGGCTGCCAACACAGTGTAAGGCGGAAGTCTCGCGCAATACAGCACACACAGCAGTCAATAGACTGCTACATTAAATATTACAAATAATTGCGGCTGGCTGTGCTGCGGCTGTAGCATGATACACTATGTATGACAGATGAATCGGGTTATTATATGCGTTATGAATATGATGCGGCGACACACAGCAGCAGCGTAACACGGCGGTTGGTTGTCGCGGATATAAACACCGCCAAATGTCAGTCACGCAGTCACACAAATGCTTTCTCTCGTTGGTTTGGTTGGTTGGTTGGTGGATCATGGGTGAATGGGTTGTTGTGTCGTACAGCATGTAATGTACACTACAATACATATTTTATACACACTATACAATGCATTGGTTTGTTGTTTTTCTGATGGCTTCTCGGTGTTTCGCACCCACCCGAGAAATCAAAAGCCACCAACAGTCAGTAGTCTACCCTTTCCATCCACATAGTAATACCCGCGCGGAGTGAGTGACCAGGTTCGACTGACAGACATCTTTTCTTGATGGTATTTTTTACCCGCCAAAAAACGGACGGACGGCTTGTTTGCTACTACTTTTAGGTCACCTGGTTGTTGGCGCCGCCGATCGATGCTAACTGAAGATCCACAAGCAAGCACCCTCTGCTGCAGTCAACACCCGCATCGAGCACCCATGGTATAAGAGACGCAAGTAGACTGTAGATACTACGTATATCATGCGTGCCCGGCATCACACGCCCCGTTGCCAGGTCCTAGGACCTGGACTAGTTGCAATTTTTGTAACCGCTTCACGAGGTGGAATGTAACATGTTTCTTTATCACGAACGGTGGGCGCCAAGGTGTGCTTCATGTGTGTTTGGGTGGACAGATCGAAGAAACATCTACCGCCAGCCAACACCCGCGGCAAGGTCCCATCGTGAGGGGCAGAGAGCTGTCGGCTGTCAGACGTACATTTTAGCAGTAGTCTACAGCAGTAGCCCGACATCGCCAGCAAGATGCTCGCCGCCGATTGTCAGTCTTGCTCAATCAGATGGTTTGGATTGCTGCGGTTTTCCGGCTCGGCAAGAAGTTACGACGATGTTCGTTCTACTCGTGAGCGCCATGGTGCAGAATGAACGAACGGCATGGATATCCTGCCTCGGACCCTCTTATCTCGCAACACCAACCAGACACTGCTGCTGCTGTGCGGTGCCTGTGTCTTGGGTAGCTTCTCTTCTCGTGAGCACGTTCGTTTAGATTTTCTTACAGATGTTTGCATGAATCGATCCGCAGGGAACACTGCGCTGGCTGTACAGCAGCAGTACCTCTCTACTACTACCGCCGGCGGTATGAGCCACTCTCACCTGTGGAGGAACCAATTGTCTAAAGCAGTACGAGACGTATTCGTGGGGCAGACACTCAGCGCGGATAGGAGAGAACCGAGGGAGTGAGTGATCTGGGCATGCGCTGTGAAATTCGGCGGTGATTTGATTCTTTCCGTAAAAAACTTTCCGTAAACAACGTGTCTGGTGCGCCGGCGCGCCCCCGGTCCCCTGTGTCGTGTTGCGCCCCCCGCCGAATCCACAGCGCATGCCCAGACCACTCACTCCCTCGGTTCCCGGCTGCCGGGCCTCTGCTTTTCGGGACCAACCCACGCTGACCGCTGACGGCCCGCACCGACCCAGGACCTGCTTCATATGTGCAGTGAACGTACGCCTCCCATCGCTCCGACATGAAACCATTGCTCGTCGTTTTGGCCTATGTTGAGTCTTTACCTCTGGCGCAAACGTTCTCTGCGACGTCGGGCATCAAGATAGCATCAGCAGGAGTTACACCTCCTCCAACAACTTCATCATTCAGCAGTAGTTACAGCAGTAGATCGTGGGGGACCGCAGCAACAACTGCCGTACAACAACCCGCCGCTGCTGCACCGCGGTTGACACCGGTGCGTCCGCGCACAGCGCTTGGTGCGGCCAAGCTCGCAGTGGATGTGGGAGACGTGAGGCGCGGCTTGTCGTCTGCGCGAGAACGTCTGGGGAAGAACCGGCAGCTCTTTGACGAGGCTAAGCTTGAGGGGGAGCTGGAGTACCTTGAGGGGGTGAGCTCGGAGGCCGAGTTTTGGAACGATGCTAACTCGGCACGGAAGACACTTGGGGACTTGAACAGGTCAGGTTGCGGCCCGGAGTTCGGAGTGGGGGGTAGAGCGCGTGCACGTGTTTAGTAGTAAGGGAGATTGTTGGTGGGTACATGTTTGGAGCAACACCAAGTATGGAGTGGCAGCGGCGGTGACGCAAGGTATCCCACCCCCAGGCAAGGTAGCCCCAGGACCGATTTTCAAAGCTCGATTGCTCCACAAGCATAAGGAGTGGCGGTGGCGGCGTTGGAACCGTCTCGTCGAGAGCAGCTTTACAAAAACAAATCGGTTGATTCGTAAATCGTCTTCGTCGTGGAGTTATCGAGCTTTGAAAATCGGTCCAGGCAGGGTGTGTGATATCTTGCGTCACCTCCGGTAGGTTTGTCTTTTGTCTATGTTTTCATGTCTTGTATTCCGCCGCATTCAGCGCGGAATGAGCTGTAGCAACAGCAGTTTCAGTCCGGCACAACTCGCAGTGTAGTTGGCTCTGGCACCCTTCTTGTCGTGTGTTCGTGGACACAGCAGCTTGACAAGCAGTCCCAAAAGTCGCAGGGTCTACCTCTCTGCTTGCGACGCAGAGTTTGTTGTCCCCTGGGCACCAGTCTATACCATACCCCTCCGTATGTGTGTTTGGCGCACCATCCGGGGTGATTGTCACACGGAGTATTCTTCACTTCTCCTCCTGCGGCAATTGCCTTCAACTTTTAACGGGCATCGTGCTTTCCTTGATTTCGACCACATGCCCTGCGTTGCCCCAAGACACATTCACTCATGGCTCTGCTCTGGCTACATATGCACACCAGAGTCTGGCAACGAGGGTAATCTACCGGCTGAAATTTGTTCCACAGGAGGCGTAGATGCACTAGCAGTGGCACCAAAGTCACCACTGCTGTAGCTCCTCTAGACAAAAAACACTTGGTAACTCGTCACGTGCTCGGCCCCCTCCGCTGCTGCTGTTACATTGGTACACCGGCAGGTTGAAGTTGCAGTTGGACCGATTGCATCGGTGGCGGGGATGGGAGGCAGACGCGGAGACGGTTATCGAGCTCTGCGGGGAGGAAGAGGGGGGCGACGAAGAAACCGTCGCGATGCTGGATGAGGCAATGGAGGTACGTCAGGAAATCCTGGCTTAACAGAGTCGTAAGGTAGTAGACACCGCTACAAGCCTACTGGCGAGTTTTCGCTCTGTTGGTGTCCGGAGAAGGGGGAGAGAAGGAAGCTTGATGTTTGTGGAGGCCACGGAGCAACTGACGGCGACGTAGCCGACATGAGCTCGACGATAAGGAAAGGGGGGAGGTGGAGGAAGATGGAAAATTGGTCACAGTTTTGGGGCAGGGCCGTGGAGGCACGAGGCACGTGGTCGGCGAACAACTGCGACTGCGTGCGGTAGTCTAGCAAACACAGACGACATCGAGAAATCTTGGACTCTTGCGCGGAAACGTTAATTCCTACACACAATTGTGAAGCCCAGAGCCCTGTTTGAGTTCATCGATGACACAAAGCATTATGTGCGCAACAGCAACGGGTACAACCAAGCCGTTCTTATCTAGAGCCCAAGAAGCTTCTACAGGAGGTCCCCCGACTCGATCCTTGCAGCCTCAGCGAAAGCTCCCGCCCGTCCCCAAAGCACCTGACTAGCGTAACACCCATCCAACGAGGTTGTGTCTCTGCTTTCCCGTCAACGGTGGCGTGTGCGTGAGGCTTTACGAAACGCCTTGTCCGTGTGGAAAACCCTGCCCGTCGCGAAACTTCGACAGGCGTTACAGCTCCTCCAGCGGGACTTGGACGCGTGGGAACTGCAGCAGTTGCTGTCGGGCAAGTACGACAACTGCGGCTGCAGGCTGACTATCATGGCCGGCGCGGGGGGAACGGAGGCCCAAGACTGGGCGGAGATGCTGCAGCGAATGTACATCCGGTTCTTCCAGAGGAGGGGCTTCAAGTACAAGATGGTCGAGGAAGAGGTAGGGTATGGAAGGGAGTGGCACGGCGGGACATGTGGTACACTGAAGAGCAGAGGTGTGGAAAGCGTGTGATCTACTTGTAAGAAGGTTGGAAAGCATGTGTTGTAGTTTGAGCAGGGATGTTGAATGCATCCGTGTGTTCTATGTTGAGCAGGCGATGGGCGTGGAGCAGATCAATTGCTCTCTGACGGTTTCATGGCAGCCCTTCAGGTATTCAACACGAGGTTAGACACCGAAATGAAAACAGGAACGCGCCATGTATGGAACCAAACAACGCGACACATACTCCTATGTGGATACCACGACAAATACGAGATTTGTAACATGCTGATGGCTGAAGATGAAACAGATCATGGTTGTATGCGGCGCGAGGCGTGACGCAAACACGTCTGCTTTCGTATCCCTATCTCCATGGCGCAGTCGGGGGAAGTAGCGGGCATCAAGAGCTGCGAGATGCAGGTGGAGGGAGACTTCGCTTACGGTTACCTGGCCGGCGAGAAGGGGACCCACAGACTGGTCCGGCAGTCCCCTTTCAACGCGCAGGCGAAGCGACAGACCAGCTTCGCGGGAGTGGAGTCGTTTCCGATCATCGAGCAAGACGACTTATCGTGAGTCGTCGTCCTCCGACCCAACTGTACGAGGTTTTTTAAGTTTGTGGGCGCGTTTGTGTTTCGGGGACCCTTGTGTTTGTCGTCAGTTTGTTTTTCTCTGCGCCAAACAACCGCTTATCACCTCTCCGAGAATGGTCTGATGCGAACGGTCAAACCGCCTCCTGCTTCTTTGGCATGTAAATTTATGTGTTAGGATATGGCCTGGCTGAACACCAGTACTACTGCTGTCTGTCATCCTCAGCAGCACTCGACCAGTCTCCAAATTTCCGCTGCTGTCGAATATTTGCGCTTGTTTCCTTTCGGCGTCGTCCCGAAATTTGTCCACGGCACACTCACCCCGCAATAAAC